CTCACAACTGAATTATGTAATCCATTAGCATCTTCCCCCACTTTCTCTTACCCAGACCCATTGGGAAAAATTTGTTTGGTAGAAGTTACAAAGACATGACTAGAAGACACACTAAACAATTCACTACACAACTCTTTTTCACATTTTTGAGTTGTCTAAATATTTTTTTAATTTAAATTTGAGTAGTGGCAAATAATATGAGTTTTTATATATTGTAAATTTTGATATTTTAAAATACAGTTATTTAAATGTACCAAAATGGATTTCTATTATCAAAGCAGTTTGATAAGGGCCATGATCAATATGGAGTCCAGGTGTGGTGCTGTAAGATAAGCACTGGACTACTAAACCAACCAGCTGCTCCTTGGAGACCTTATCCAGGATTGCTATGAATTGGAGCTGACTCGATAGCTCTTAATAACAACAACCACAACAACAACGATTAAAATGAAGAAACATGTGGACAAGCTCTATACTAATAGCCTGGAACTTGCATTGTTTTTTTCCTCTTTGAATTCACATTTCCATTCTACTCTACAGAACTGTATCTTCTAACTCATAGTGACTCTGTATAGAGTTGCTGAGGACTGGCTGGTGACTGTGAACTGCCGACCTTGGAGTTCAAACTGACCTTGTAGTCCAGTGCTTATCCCACAGCACCACAGCAGGACTCCTACTTCTTTATAACAAGATATCAATTACAAGTGAAAAAAAGTTTTTCCATGGGACTAAAAGACTGTGTTAAAACATGTTATTTTGATTGAATTATTAGCACTACTGTTTGAAGTACCAAATTGGTCAGGATAAAATAATTATTTTGATTAATATTTGGTGCCATAGGATAAAGCACTGGACCACAGGGTCAGTCTGAAACACAAAGCCGGTGGTTGAAGCTCACCAGCTGCTCCTCGGAAACACTGTACAGGGCCACTGTGAGTCAGACCGACTCGATGGCACATAAAAACAACAACAACAAACATATGTATTAAAATCATATTAGACACATACATTTTGATGTAATATATTTGAATTGTTTTTTCCAATTTATTTGCATATCATGGAAAATATTGTGTTGTTGTTGTTAGGTGCCATTGAGTTGGTACCGACCCATAGCGACATTATGCACAGAGGAATGAAACACTGCTAATCCTGGGCAAACCTCACTACTGTTGTCACGGTTGAGTCCATCGATGCTGCCACTTGGCCAATCCATCTTGTTGGGGGTCTTTCTCTTTTTCTCTGACCTTCCACCTTACCAAACATGATGTCCTTCTCCAGCGACTGCTCCCTCCTGACAGTAAGTCTGAAGTATGAGAGATGAAGTTTGGCCATCTTGGCCTCCAAGGAGCATTCTGACTGAACTTCTTCCAAAACAGATCATTGGTTCTTTTGGAAGCCCATGGCACTTTTAATATTCTCCTCCAACACCGTAACTCAAAAGCATCAATTCTTCTACAATCTTCCTTATTCACTGTCCTGCTTTTGCATGAATATAAGGTTATTGAAAATACCACGGCTTGGGGAAGTCACCTTAGTCCTCAAGCTGACATCTTTGCTCTCCAACACTTTAAAAAGGTCTTGTGCAGCAGATTTGCTTAATGCAATATGTCATTTGGTTTCTTGACTGCTGCTTCCATGAGTGTTGATAGTTGATCCAAGAAGAATGAAGTCCTTGATAACTTCCATCTTTTCTCTGTTGATAAGAATGTTGTTTATTGGTCCAGTGGTGAAGATTTTTGTTTTCTTAACATTGAGATGTAATCCATACCGAAGGCTGTGCTCTTTGATCTTCATCAGTAAATGTTTTAAGTCCTCTTCACTTTCAGCAAGCAAGGTTGTATCATCTGCATATCGCAGGTTGTTAATGAGGCTTCCTCCATTCCTGATGCCACGTTTTTATTCATATAACCCAGCTTCTTGGATTATTAGCTCCGCATACAGGTTGAATTAGTATGGTCAAAGAATACAACCTTGTCGCACACCTTTCTTAATTTTAAAACATTCGGTGTTCCCATGCTTCTTGGTCCAGGTAGAGATTCTTCATGGGCACAATTAAGTATTCCAGAATGCTCATACTTCACAATTGTTGTCCATAGCTTGTCATGATCCATTGTTCAATCGAAAACCTTTGCGTAGTCAATAAAGCACAAGTCAACATCTTTCTGATCATCTCTGCTTTCAGCCAAGATCCATCGGACATCAGCAATGATATCCCTTGTTGCACGGCTTCTTCTGAATCTGGCTTGAACCTCTGGAAGTTCTCTGTCAATGTATAGTTTCAGCTGTTTCTGTATTACCTTTAGCAAAACTTTACTCTAATGAGATATCAAAGAGATTATCTGATGATTTCTGCATTCCGTTGGGTCACCTATCTTTGGAATGGGCACAAATATGGATCTCTTCCAATCAGTCAGCCAGATAGATGTCTTCCAAATTTCTTGGCAGATATGAGTGAGTGCCTCCCGTGTCTCCTCACTTTCTTCAAAGATTTCCATTTTTATTCCATCGATTCCTGGTGCTTTGTTTTTTGCCAGTTCCTTCAATGCACTTTGGACTTCCGTCTTCAGTATCATATGCTACCTCTTGAAATGGCTGAACATGAACCATTTCCTTTTTATACAGTGACTCTGTCTATTCCTTCCATCTTCTCTTGATGCTTTCTGCATCCTTCAATAATTTGCCAAGATAATCTTTCAATAATGAAAGTCGAGGCTTAATATTTTTCTTCAGTTCCCCCAGCTTGAGAAATGCTGAGCATGTTCTTCCCTTTTGGTTTTCTGTTTCCAGATCTTTGCACATTTTGTTGTAATATTTAGCTTTATCTTCTCAAGCTGATCTTTGAAATTTTCTGTTCAGCTCTTGGACCTCGTCATTTCTTCCATTTGCTTTAGCATCTGTATGCTGGAGAGCAAATTTCAGTGTCTCTTCTAACATCCATTTTGATCTTTTCCTTCTTTCTTGTCTTCTCAATAACTTTTTGCTTTTTTCATGCATGATGTTCTTGATGTCATCCCACAACTATTCTGGTCTTCGGTCTTTAGGGTTTAATGTATCAAATCTGTTCTTCAGATGGAAAATATTAATTACTGCTAAAAATGAATGGTTTTAGCATGTATTCTAGAACTGCTTTTTGTTGTTGTTGCTAAAGCTGCTGAGAAATCTTATTCACATAAGTAAGTAGGTGGGAATGGAAGTTTTTTTTTTTGTTGTTGTTGTTGTTACAGCTATGTCAATTGTTTGAACTTGTGATGAGTTATATCATGTAATGATCTAGCACAAAAAATATTTTAATGATTGATCAGCTGACAACTCAGCTAGGTCTGCTTTCAACTTTACTGAAAGCAAAGGGCTGGAAACAACCTAACTTGCAAAATATTTTGTCACTCAGTCATTGTAGTCCTTTACTTTCTAGTTTCTAGGAAATACATATTTACTCAATGCGTCTCTTCTAGCCATGGCCTAGTTACTCTCACCAAATGACAGGTTGGGACAATGCAAAGAGAGTGTATGAGACTCTCACATAGGCATTGGTTCGTTTCGTCATCACATTAGGTTTAGAAGGAGCTATCTCAGAAGCAGGAACAGAGGATCTCAAGACCATCAAGAAAGAAGAGCCATGAGTAGAGTGCAAGGTCCTTGTGTGGAAAATGAAGTAGTGGTGGAGACAGCAACAGAGGCCTTGGCAAGGAGAGAAAGAATAATGGACTTCCCTGTGTGATGCTGAATGTCTTTGGGCAGGAGTCTGGCTTGCAGAATGGGGCACCCTTTGAGCACTTACAAACAGCACTATACAAACTTGTAGCCCTTCGTGGAGCAGGGTAGAGGCCAAGGGGCCACCTGGCTGAGAGGCCAAAGATTGGAAAGAGGCATGCCTTCGATACAGCTGACAAGAAATGTTGCTTATTGGAGAACTTCTGTATCCTGAGTTTCTGGTTCTGCATTGTACTCTGAACTACAAGGGCAGTGGTTCAAACTCACCTGCCACTCCTCACTTAGGGTTTCTATGAGTTGGAACCGACTTGACAGCACTGAACAACAAAACTCCTGCAATAAACCCCAGAGTCGTTAGTATTGTCTCTGAGTTCTGTGTGGCCATTTCAACAGTTTATTGAAACCAGCAGGGTAGAGTGCTGTGAGAGGGATGGTTGGTGTCAGAATAGGGTAAAGAAAGCTGTAGAGAGGAGGCATGTGTGATCCCCACCACATAGGAATCAATCTTGGGCTGATGTGGAGTTTGGTTCTCCTTCTCCCTTGTGAAGTCGAAGGAATGCAGACACTCTCCATGCCATTTTTGCATTCACGTTCTCAGTTTCAGTGGCTGATATTTTAGAAGCAGATCACCAAACTAATCCAAGGAATTGTTATCCTGTGTATATATAGTCATCAAAAATTTCACAAGTAATTTTATCCTGGGCTGACCCTAATTTTTTTAATTTCAAAAACTAAGAACTACTACTTTGTTTTCTTCTTTCTTTCCCCACTTGAAGCCACAAACTGAGTGAAAGGTAAGAGGTACAAGGACATGTGTGTGTGAGTGGGGTGGGAAGTAGAGGTAAGGGTCAAATGATTTACCTTCCACAGTAGTTTTTATTGTATCAAGATGAGGTAAGTGGCATTCTGGTATGGCTCTCTGGTTTTGAATTCAATAAGCTAAGGAGATGTTTTCTCATTTAATCTAATTTAAATCTCTGTTTTCATAGTGAAAAAATAGTTCAGAAAATTTTTGAGTAGATTGAATTGAAACAAATTTTATTGCTCTATTGTTGGTTAGGCGTGACCAGTGGGCATCAATTGATACATACTAGCTAAATATGTTAGTCTGAAAATGCATATTTAAGAATAGTGATTGAGTCTACTGTGTGTCAGGCTGTATGCCTTAAGGCAGGGAGACAAAAGCAGAATCCAATGATTGTAATTATCAGGGTTATGCCAATAATGCCATCAAAATACTATGTGAAGTCACAGAGAGAGAAGAAGAAGCATATTTGAAGTAATATTTCTTAAATTACTTCAATATCATATGCCAGAGGGCCTTCAATGGAAAATCCTAGGTAAAAGGACACGTTTTCTATGTTCCCGCCACTTCTGAGTGGGCCGGAATAAACAGATACCACTGGTATTTTTATTTTCTCCTTTGTGCCATATTCTATATAGATCACTTTTCCAACAGCCTGACCTACTAGACGACGTAGGAGGTTTTTGACTTCTTTTTTTTTCCACACATCGCCACTGTGCCATAAGGAATTTGTATTTTGTTCTTTACTGAAGTACTGCTCTATCTCAGCTTTGTGAACAATACTGTTGAGACCCTTGCTCTTCCCCAGATAGAAAAGTGTGCTGGCCTGCTTGGACCGACACAAGCGTCTGTAATGGTACACAAAGGATTTATTTAAAGATGAAACATACTTTTCCAGTTGTTTGGAATCCTGATCTAGCTCCTGATTTTCTGGCCAGAATAAGAGGCAAGCCAAGAAGTAAGGGTCTGGATATTGACGAGTTAATTCTACTAATTGCAAGACTTCTCTGAGCTGTTTTTTCAGTGTGGTAAATGGCTGAATAAACTTGGAACTGGGTTTTAGACAACTGAGAATAACATTTGCCAATATGAAATTTTGTTTCTCCTTTATCAGCCTCTTATTTGAATTTTGCTTAAACAGGAAGCTGTATTGGTTCACTATGTTTTCCATTATGTTTGCAGCATCTTTGTGGTTTGGGTTAAGATATTCTAGAAGTCCAGAAAACCTGTCTGCTCTTAGACTTTCTAGTTTTTTCCTGCAATTTTCCTCTTGGAATAACACTTTGCTTTCTAATGTATCCACATCCAAATGGCAAAAAAGTTCTGTGTATTTCTTGAAACAACGGCTGACTTTCTTGTTTAATGTGATCTCCACAATTTCTTTCTGGGCATTCCTTGTTTTCAAAAGAACCATATAATCAACAAAAAAATCAAAGCACCTTTTCAAATCTGATTGTAAATTTTGTAGGTAGGATGCGACATTCTTAAGAGTTGAGAGATATTCGTTTTTTGGATCAGCTGGACCATCTCCTATTTCTGATAAAAACTTTGCCATAGATATCTTAGAGAGTTCATTTTTTGTGCGGAAAAGGGGAGTGAGCTGAAGAATCTGGATGGCATAAAGACCGACTTCTATTTCACCCAAGAAACCAGCTGTGTTATACATGTCATATTTTCTTTGGGACTTCTGTAGTGACCAGGCCTCTGTTTCATAGTTTTTACTATCAGTTTGGCGTTGGGACTCTTTGAAAGCTCTTGAGGCTTTTTTAGCTGTTTCTAAGCAATGTTCTAGATCAGTAACAGTAATATTCCTACTGGTTTTGTTTTCATCCAACCACCATTTTATTTCACTTTTGTAGACTTGACCAAGTGTATCTGAGATATAGGAGTTTTCAGGTGCTATCTTTTTGGCTTGATTTGCCCAATGAAGAGCAGTTTTGAAGTTCTTCTCTTTAATGTAGAAATATCTTGCTAAGGCTTGGCAGATAAGTGCATTTTGTGGGAATCGAATACTTCCTGCTTTCAAGACCTCTTCAATTTTTCTGTTTGGTAAAGCTTCAATTAATGGGGAAAACAAGGTATCTGTTTCATCGCCATGCTCCTTGCGCTGTCTCGTAAGTAGAAGTGTTTGCACATCATGGAGAAATTTATCTCTTCCTATTCCAGAATTATAGAATAATTTCTCCTGTAGCAACTCTAGTGCAATTTGACTTTTATCCAAGTCGTAGTTGCTTTCCAGTTCTTTTAGACAACAGATGGCAATCAGAGGATGGATGATGCGCACACCTGTGTATCTCCCATAGTCTGGAACTTCGGTTTTTATTAGAAGTGTAGAATAGGCTCCCATCTTGCTTTCTAGGGTTTCAAGAACCCCTGGTGCCTTAATACATGTGATTCCTAAAAAACGTTCACAGTTTGACAGTGAAATTGTAGAATCAGTAACAAAAGCATTGAGTAGAGCCAGATAAGAAATGAGTTTTGCTTCTTTGTTGTCAACATTCTGTCCTTTAAAGATATTCCTGACAACATTTACTACATACGTTTCATCAAAATTGCTTTTCATGATCATAAAGGAATAAAAGTTTTCACAGTTCTTGTGTTGCTTTTCTATTTCCATCAGTTTGGCTTCAAATGCTCTTTGTTCTTTGGAAGAAAGCTGATATTTTAGTACAACGTTGTTTAGTGATTTTGGACTATCTTCAGGATTCTGGGTCCTCATGCAATTTAAGATAATTACCAATGGTTTTTCATATCGCAAACCCTTCTCTGCTAAACTGGAATGGATGGCATTCTGTAGAATGTAGATGTTTTCCAATTCTTCAAAGTCATCCACTAGGAGAAGTACTGGCATGTATTCCTGATGGCTAAATGCCTTGTAGGTGATCAAACTGGTCACTTGTTCACCAACTTCTGTAAAATCGGTTGCTTTATTTTTTAACACAGCACATCTGAAGCTTTTCTTTAGGTCCCAGAGAACATGCATAGCCAGTGTAGTCCCCCCACAGCCTGGATGATGATAGAGATTGACGATTTTTGCAAATATTGGTTTAGAAGATTCTGCCCAGCACTCTATCGACTCTTTAAGCATTTTGTAACTGTCCCTTTTGACAAAAGCTGAAGAATAGTTTTCAGAAGAAAAATAGAAGTTCCACCAAGATACTTTGCCACCTCGGTAAAAGTGTTCTTCTTTTGATGTCTTAAATTCGAGGAATTTAGTTTTATCTTTCTCTAAGTCTGTGTCCTTACACTCATTTTCACAGAGTATTTCTAGCGCAGTAAAGACATCCTCTTCTTTTTTCTCTAGGATAACAGAAGAAGATCCACCAGAGGGCAGAAACCTCTTTGATGACTGAATCACTGATTTTTGTTTAAGAATAGTGCAATTTATCTGCTCTAAATTTAGAGTGGAAATACTGTGGTCTGTTAATTCATCTGCTATTGTCAATCTTGTCTGTAGTCGATCTTTCCATCGCTGAAAAATCTGTGAGTTTACACAGATACACAATATATTTTCCATTCCTTTGAGAGCTTGGTAGAAAGCACAGAAAGTTTCAATGAGTGGATCCCCTGGCATGTCCACTGGAGACAGTAATAGAAATAACACCAAAAATTTCCCTTTTGTCATTATATTTTCATCTGTGAGAAAGAAAACAAGTTTTCTGACTTCAGAAGCTCTTTCTCTCTGCCATAAATGTGGTTCTAGAGGTTTATATATCTCACCGCTTAAGTCTGATCTGCCGTTGCAGAAGATCCAGCTGGGCTGCTCGTAAAGATTCAGAGTAGATACCACCTCTCTAATGGTAGCTGTCTTTTCTTCATATTGGCTTGGTAAGTGTAGGTTTGCTATTCTACTTTCTTTGTAAGCTTTAGCCACACCATTGCTCTCAGATTCAGGATCAAACTCCAACACAGCAAACCATTTGATTTCTTTTAGAAAATCTAAGTGCTTTGTTTGGTTTGGATGGCTTTTATTTATAACAAGAATGTACCAGTCATAACATGAATTATCCAGCGAGTCTTGGCTTCCGATGAGATGTTTAACCAGTTTTAGTCCTTCACTTTTCTTCTTATTTGCCTTCACTCCAAATTCTTCTTCTGCTTCTTTTCGAAGTGCTACCATTGAGTTTATATTTCGTATGAATTCATTGAAATCTGCATCCTGCTGTTTGACATTGGCGAGGATATCCTTGCAGCCAGCTCCATCTCTCACAAATAGCGAATGCTCTTTGTTTGGTCTCCATGATCCATCTTTACAATTTTGCATGGTAACGCAGAAATGCTTTTCTTTACACACATAGTGACTTGGAATAACATCTACTTCAATGACAAATTTGTCAGATAGTGTATTGTTCTGCTGTAGGACTTCCACAAACCTTGGCTCCCGAATACACTTCTTGGCTTCCTTGATATGACTTTTTTCAAAATATTTTTGAATCATTAGATTGAAGTGGTTAATGAAAGCATCCTTATCAGTGATTTTCACACCAACAATTTCTCCATGGGGTTTGTCCATGACTCCAAAATGGATAGTACCATTTGTGCGTGAATTCATACAAGCTGATGCAAATTTGAAGACTTCATTGCTAAATTTCATCAGACTGTCCTTTTCGGTGGCATTGTCTGTGTTTGTGAATTCTTTGTACTCATGTATGGGGTCAATGAGATTGAGTGGTCCTGTCTCAGGTGGTAGAACACAATGCTCTGTGTAACGTTGACCAGCATGGAATTGGTCAAAAGGATAAGGCATGCAAGTCACTGGTTGAGTTTTTAGCTCATTCTTTTTTCTGCTTTGTTCAATTGTTGCATTTACTTTTGTAAGAATTGATTCTTGTTCTTTGGCATTTCTGATCTCTGTGAGATCATGATCAATATTGGATGATATTGGTTCTTCCTTTTTTGTCTCTTCTGGGGTTTTTTTTTGTTTTTTTTTAGACTTTTTTGTTTGATCAAATTGTCCAGAATCCTGATTGTGATTTTCAAGGGAACTTGTATTTAATTTGTTATACCCACGTTTTATCAAAAGTGCTGGGCCTCGTGGTAGCCCCATATCTCTAAGGTCCTTTTCAGTTAATTCCTGCAGGACTAATCCTGTTACTTCTTCATTCAACAGAATTTGCCCATATTTCTCATCAACCTTAAGGTCCTCAGTTACCCATTTTTTCACATGCTCTTTGGTCCAGTCCCGGGTCAGTTCAGGTATAGTGACTTGATCACTCATATCCAAGCTGTAGCTTTCTTCCTTGGGGAAAAAGCAATACAAGAAGTACTTCAGTGTTATATTTGTCATTGAAATCACATAGTCAATTACATAATCATATGTAGCAATATTAAATAGAATATATATATTAACACATAAAAATTATACATGAAAACCTGTGAAACTCAGTGGTGACTGTACCCTGTTAAAGGTAAAAAACTTGAAAGACCCAGGAAAGCAAGACAAGTTCTCACTCTCATAGGTCTCACTATACATAACCTTTTTCAGAGGTAAGAGCATATATAATCTGTTGTATCAAACAATAAAACTCATTGCCATTGAGTAGACTCCAACTCAGAGCGATCCTAAAGGACAGGGCAGAACTACCCCGTAGGCTGTTGGGTTCAAACTGATGATGTTTCGGTTAACAGCCAGGCACTGAACCACTATGCAACTAGGGCACCTTCTCTCGGTTGTTGTTGTTAAGTGCCGTCGAGTAGGTTCCGACCCATAGCGACCCTGTACACAGTTTCCAAAGAGTAGCTGGTGAGCTTGAACCGCCAACCTTGCAGTTCAAACAACTTTTCAGTCTGATGCATTAACCCACAGCGCCACACCAGGTTGTTGTTGTTAAGTGCCATCAAGTGGCCACCCTGTATAGGATTTCCAAGGATCCACTGGTGGGTTTGAACCACAGACCTTGCAGTTAGCAGAGCAGTGCTTATTCTACAGTGCCACACCAGGACTCCCTTCTCTTTGTGTATATGTGTGTGGGATATATTTGCTGTTGTTAAGTACCAGTGAGTCGGTTCTAAATAGAAACCCTGTATACGGTTTCCAAGGAGTGACTGGTGGGTTGGAATTGCCAACCTTGTGGTTAGCTGTCCAATTGTTAAGCTACTGCCCCACACCAGGTTATATATATATAGATATATAGATATATAGATATAGATATATATGTTGTTGTTGTTGTTAAGTGCTGTCGTATCTGTTCCAACTCATAGCGACCTGCATAGGGTTTCCAAGAAGTAGCTGATGAGTCTAAACTGCTGACTTTACGGTTCAAACCAAACTTGTGGTCTAGTGCTTATCCTATAGCGCCACACCAGAGATGCAATATGTATATTGTTGTTAAGTGCCATCAAGTCAGTTCTGACTCATAGAGACCCTGTATAGATTTTTTGGAGGAGCAGCTGGTGAACTTGAACCACTGACTTTGTGGTTCAAACAACCTATATATAAATATTCATATTCATATTTATACTTATATTTAGGAGTCCTGGTATGATGCTGCAGGCTGATGCGCTGGACTGCAAGGTTGGTTTGAACCACAAGGTCAATGATTCAAATTCACCAGTCACTCCTCAGAAACCCTATACAGTACAGGGTTGCTATGAGTTGTAACCAACTCAAGGTATATATACACACACATTCATATATATATATGAAATCTCACATAATGGAGTCCTAGTTGTAGTGCTGTGGGACAATGCACTAGACTTTAAGGTCAGTTTGAACTGCAAGGTTAGCAGTTCAGATTCACCAGCTACCCCTTGGAAACCCTATACAGGGTGGCTATGAGTCAGAACTGACTCGACAGTACTTAACAACAGCAATAACAAGAATCTCACATATGTGTATGACACACACACACACATGCACATGGAGGCTTCAAAAAGTTCATGGAAACATGGGGGGGGTACTCCATTTTTCCATGAACTTTTTGGAGCTCCCACAGTATAATCTATTTATCTATCTATCCATGTATCTATCTAACCTCTTATATATACAGTAAAACTTGCAAAAGCCAGAACCTATATAAGGCAGAAACCTTTCAAGAAGGAAAACCAACATTGTTTTAACTAATAGAAAGGATGTAGCCCAAACCCATTGCCACCGCGAGAATTCTCATTCAGAGCAACCTGACAGGACCGCCATCAAGTTGATTCCAACTCATTGTGACCATAGATAGTGTTCCCAACACTGTAGATCTTTATGGGAGCAGACAGCCTCATCCGACTCCCATGGAGCTGGTGGATTAGAACAGCTGACTTTATGGTTAGTTATGCAGTGCTTAGCCTACAATGCCACCAGGGCTGGCTTTGCTGAGTTTCAAGAGCTGAATATTCTGAATATCTTGAAACTGGGGTTCTCAAACTTGGCTGAACAACATTAGGATCATCTAGGGCTCCATGTCCTAACATACTAATTTAATTGGTTGTGGGGGTATACGTGTGGGTGAAATTCAGGAATTAATATTTTAAAAAATGGGGCTGGGTGATTCTATTGTGAGAAAATAGTGCCATTGCTGTTTGGTGTCATTGAATAGGTTCTGACTCATAGCAACCCTATGCACAACAGAATGAAACACTGCCCAGTGCTACACCGTCTTCACAACAGCTACTGTGTTTCAGCCTGTTGCTGCTGCCACTGTGTCAATCTAGCGCCTTAGGAATCTTCCTCGTTTTCACTGACTCTCCATTTTCAGAGATTGATGTCATTCTCCAGGGACTTGTTGTTGTTATTGTTCTTGTTGTTAAGCACCGTCGAGTTGGTTCTGACCCATAGCAACCCTGTATAGGGTTTCCAAGGAGTGGCTGGTGAGCTTGAACCGCCGACCTTGCAATTCAAACCAACATTGTAGTCCAGCGCATTAGCTTCCAGCGCCACACCATTACTGGTTCCTCCTAATAACATGCCTGAAGTAAAAGAGATGAAGCCTCATCATCCTGGCTTCTAAGGAGCATTCTGGCTGGACTTCTTCCAGCACAGAATTATTTGTTCTTGTGGAAGTCCATGATACCTTTAATATTCTTCTCCAACACAATAATTAAAATGAATCATTTTTTCTATGGTCTTCCTTATTCATTGTCCAACTTTCATATGTATATGAGGTGACTGAAAATACTATGGCTTGGATCAGGCACACCTTAGTACTCAACTGATTTGTGAGCACTTTAAAGAGGTTTTAGTGCAGCAGATCTACCTAATGCAATATGTTGTTTGATTTCCTGACTTCTGCTTTCACGAATATTGACTGTGGACCCAAGCAAATTAAGTCTTTGACAACATCAGTCTTTTCTCCATTTATCATGATGTTATTTATTAATGCAGTTGTGAGAATCTTTGTTTTCTGTACATTGAGGTGCAACCCATACCAAAGATTGTAGTCTTTATCAGTAAATATTTTAAGTCCTCTTCACTTTTAGCAAGCAACACTGCATCATCTACATGTCACAGTTTGTTAATGAGTCTTCCTCCAACCCTGATACCACTTTCTTCTACATAGAATTCATTTTGAATAAGTATGGGGAAAGGATACAATGTTGTCACACAATGTTCCTGCTTTTAAACCATTCAGTATCCCCTTTTTCTGTTCTAAGAACAGCCTCTTGGGCTATGGACTGGTTTCTCATAAGTACAACAAAGTGTTCTGGAATATTCATTTTTTGCAATGTTATCCATAATTTTTTGTGGTCCACACAATCTAAAGGCTTATAGCAAGCAAAGCTCAAGTAAACATCTTTTTGATATTCTCTACTTTTAACCAAGATCCATCTGAAGTCAGCAATGATATCCCTCATTCCAGGTCCTCTTCTGAATCCGGCTTGAATTTCTGACAATTCCTTATCGATATACTGTTGCAACTGTTTCTGAATTATCTTAAGCAAAATTTTATTTGCATGTGATATAATGATACTGTTTGATGATATGTGCATTCTAGTGGGTCACCTCTCCATGGAGAAGGCACAGTGTGGACCTTTTCAAATCAGCTGGCCAGGTTCCAAATTTCTTGGCACAGATGAGTGAGAGCTTCCAGTGCTACATCAGTATGTTGAAAGATTTCGATTTGCCTTCTGTTCATTCCTGGAGCCTTGTTTTTCACCGATGCCTTCAGTGCAGCTTGGACCTCTTCCTTCAGTACCATCACAGTTCTTGATCATATGCTACCTCTTGATATAATTGAACATTGACTTTTTTTTTGGTACAGTGACTCTGTGTATTCTTTCAACTTGTTTTTGGGGCTTTCGGTATCATTCAATATTTTGCCATAGAATCTTTTAGTATTTCAAGTCGACGTTTGGATTTTTTTCTCCAATTCTTTCAGCTTGAAAAATACTGGAAGTGTTCTTCCCTTTTGGTTTTCTAACTCTAGGTCTTTGCACATCGTGTTATAATGCTTGACTTGTCTTTTCAAACTGCCCTTTGAAATTTTCTGCTCAACTTTTACTTTTTCGTTTCTTCCATTTGCTTTAGCTTCTCTACACTAAGAATTAGTTTCAGTGTCTCTTCTGACATCCATTTTGGTCTTTTCTTTCTTTCCTGTCTTTTTAATGATCATTTTCTTCCTTCATATATGATGTTTTTGATGTCATCCCACAACTCTTCCAGTCTTTTGTCATTAGTTGCTAAGGCATCAAATCTGTTCTGGAGATGGTCTCTAAATTCTGGTGGGATATATTCCACGTCATATTTTGGCTCTCACGAACTTGTTTTAATTTTCTTCAGCTTTAACCTGAACTTGCATATGAGCAGTTGATGGTCTGCTCCACAGGCTGTCCCTTTCCTTATTTTGGCTGATGCTATTGAGCTTTTCTACCATCTTTTCCCACAGATGTAATGAATCATGTGATCTCCAGCATCATTTCTATCATCAAGGCCATATTTTCCAACTACAGATCCTTCCTTGTAGTTTCCAACTTTCACATTTCAATCATTAGTAACTATCAATGCACTTTGATTGTATGCTTGGTCAATTTCAGACTGAAGAAGTTGGAAGAATTCTTTAATTTCATCATCAGTGGCTTTAGTGATTGGTGTGTAAATTTAAATAATTGTGATATTAATGGTCTTCCTTGTAGGCATATTATCCGTCCACAGACAGTATTGTACTACAAGATAGATCTTGAAATGTTCTTTTTGACAATGAATGTAATGTCATTCCTCTTCAATTTGACATTCCCAGCACAGTAATTCATATGATTAAAAATGGCCAATACCAGTCCATTTCAGCTCACTAT